CGCAAACATCTGAAACGAAAGCGAAAAGAGTAAACTTTGGTTTCTATGATGTTGTTTGTTTATGTTTATTGACACAAATATGGGTAAAACTTCTATTTTCTGCGTTGTTCATCTCATTATACATGACAAGTTCATCATGAGTATATGTCACTTCTGTTGTCTCTTCTTCTTACCCTGCTCATCCCATAAATGCTAGACGTCGTTTGTTAGCGAAGTAGAGAAAGACTGCATTGACCAAGTAGATCGAGCAACAAACCAGACAGATAGTGTGTAGCTTGAGTAGAGCTAAAAGCTGAGCGTCTTCTTATAGTTCATATCTATTCCAAGTTAATTTAGAGGTATCTCTATAAAGATCTTATTTTCTCTTGTTTTGAATGAGTATTAGTTTAGACGTTTAGGCCTATTTTGGAAGTTTCAGTGATCTCAGGCTGCAGTCTTTCTTTTTCAAATGTTCTAACTCTGCTTACCTGCAAACAAATAGATAGAAACGATAATTAAGAAAATTGCTATGGCGAAAGAAACCGTTGCTGAGCTACGACTGTGCCATAATTGAATAAGCGCCAATAAAGTGTATCCAATCACGCCGTAAAGGGTGTTTTTCTAAAATATGATAATAGTTTTATCTGAGATAGGACTGTGAACCAACTTGCCTGATTGAGCACGCTATCTTCTCCCAGCAAAGGCCCGATTAGGCCAAACCCAGAACTGTGTTTTGAGTTTAGAACTTTAGTACAAGAGACATCTGGCGAAATATCACAAACTGGCGCATAGTTGTGATCCATCTCAGAGCGAATTTCTACATGGAGACCTCAATGCCTTTACAGTGAATTTAGAAACTTTGATTAACCTACTTCTCCACGAAAGCCTTACTATAAAGAGATATGAGAAGGCCAGCTATCGCTGTATAGAATGCACCTTGGGTCGCAAATGCCACTTCCTTTGAACAGGCCGACGTGGATTTACTCATCTAAAATGAACATTTGGGTAGCGCCTAGCACTAAACTGCTTTTAAAACTCATCGTTCCAGAACACCCACATGCAGCACTACTCACAGCGAACAAAAACCCTCTTAAGCAACGCCCTCTCTTTTCCTTCATCATGCTGTTTTATGTGAATTCAGTGAAACTAAAATCTAGTGAGCTGCAGATGACCGCTCAAGATGGTGAAGGCCAAACACCTGAGGTAAATCTGTTGTGGAAACATAACCGACAATTACTATTTGATTGCCTTGATGCTTTGGAAGGAGAAAAAACGATTATATGGGATAGAAGTCTTATGCAAAGAGTAAATTTGGTAAGCATAATTCATCTTTTTTTAGAAGGACATCACTATACAAAGTTATTTTAGTTTGCCGGTCCATCGATATTAAAATTGCACGGCGTCGTCAGCAACTTCGCCCTCGACCAATTTCGTCCCTTTGATACCCCGCATGTGGTATTTTTCCTTGCTCCAACATTGGCAGCGGTAGACTTACTATGCGAATATATTGACAAAGCAAAGACAGATACGGTAATTCTCGTTCAATAACGGTTCTAATCCGATCATATATATGAATATACAATTAAAGAAAACACTCTTCGAAGTTTTCTTTATTCCTGAAGCCTGGTACGTGGTACGCGAAAAACTGAAGGAGTCCAATGGTGG